AGAAACAACACAACCCAGTGTTGCCCACTCTTAATCCCAAAGCTTGTCCAGAAGAATATCATGATTGCTGCTGAGTGGTCAAACAGAGCCAAGATGGATGTACTATACCACCCACACCTCACTTCCACCAGAGTTTTTAATCAATGCTGTTTCAGTCTCATACTCAGGTCTGAAATCTGACTGAAAGAAGTCCAGATAATACTCTTTCAGCATGTTCTAAAATGCTTCATGACCACTTCTCTAGAAACATAGATAATCCACCTACTCTGGAAAGTAAATGATAAATGTCCGCATGAGTGGCTCTATCAATGGCTTCTTGAGAAGGGGGAGCACCATCACTTCCTTAATTGATTGTGGGACCACCTACTCTCTCAAAGAAGAATTAACCACCACCAAACCCAACAACGTACCATCTCTTGGGTGCCTTAGCAGGCAAGGAGAGACAGAGGTTTAATATACAGAGGACCAAGCTTACAATTCCGAGAATCTGATTTACTTCCACAGGACTAACAGGTTCAAACTCCTCCCAGGTAACCAGGCTCAGAGCCTCAGAAACCTCCAGAAGACCTACTGAAATCTGTAGTCCATCTTGGAATAAATCCAAACAACTTTATCTAACAGATGACTAGCATATTCTTCATAGCAATCTTGTAGATGAACTTCCAATTCAGCCCTCTCCAAGGGGATCCATATTAACTTGAACAAGGCTACCAGACAGTTATCCGTGGACATAGTAAGTGTGGGGAAATATGGACATTTCACTGCCCTTGCTGTCATGGCATGCTAGGCATTTCTTTTCCCATTTCATCTCCTGTTCCTCTGTAAATCAAGAGAACTTCAGGGAGGAGTGGCTGTATAGGCACAATCCATCCAAGGTCTCCAATGCCTCTCCATTCCAGACAGAAAGCAAGACTTTGTTTGGACTGTGAATCAGACCTTTGGAAACAACCCCAGCTTCCCTCTAGACCCAACTGGGCCCCATTAATCACGTAGAGCAAACTAATCAAATAGGTCCAGCCTCCATATGGCGAGTGAACTGCAGGGCAACCAGAGAGTAAAGTAGTTCCCCCAATTCCAGATTATACCGCCACTGCCCCAACAGAAAAAAACAATCTGTCATATGATTTTTGTCATGTGTCAGAACCTCGGTGACCTGGATGAGCTCCATGGCTATCATAGTGGCCATGAACTCTTATCTCAGACTCTGCCACCAGAGAAAGCAAGTTAAAATCCTGTAGTACTACAAGCCTGGGAAACTCTCACCATTAGCCCAGGCACAGAGTACAGAGTACAGAAATTTCACCAGAGAGGTTGCTATGCAGCAGGGAGACTAGTTTAATAGCTACTCTCCCACCTAGTACTTATAGATATTATTAATTTGAATGACGCAGATGATATTCCAGTTTCCCAATAATTGAATGACGTTTCCAACTATTTTCAGCAGATGGTATTTCCAGCCTAATTAAAATCTCAGGGAGAAACATCCTAATTTATTTTGATCATTTTTCCATTGCCCAATTATTTTTAGTCTCTATGTTTTTGATTCCTCTCATACAGTCTTACATGTAACATGATGTTTTTATATACACATGGTTGCATTGTTATTCCCATACATCTTAATGATACTCTTTTAAATATTTAAAAATTGAAATATTTGTTCCCCTTCTCCTTTGAAATATTGCCAGTTTTTTGCTCTACATACAAAATGTTATCAGAAGCTAGACATACCATTCTAGCTGAGACAAATCTTTGCTGACCTGTACAGCTCATTCCTTTGTTCAATATAGCACCTGCCTTTTTTGCAGCCAATTCACTCTATTGATGAATTCAGGTTGTAATTTGTTTTTCACCCAGATCATTTTTATGCCATAAAGAATTAAAAGTAGGGGAAGCAGCCTTAGCATAACAGCAGACTACATGCTTTACATATATAATATCTGAAGCTAATTCTCAAGCATTCCCAGGAACATCTAATATTACTCAAACTATCTAATACTAGCTTAAGTGGACCAACAATATGATTCAGGATAAGGCACTACCTTACATTTCCACTGGTTCTCTAATATGAACTGTATATTATATTTATGGATCAAATATATATAAAGAATACATGTAGAGAGATAATATCTATGAATATAATTTAAATATTTGTAAGGTAACAGTTTTTGATTTTCTACAATGCGGTCAAAAATTAATACAATAAAAAGAAAATATAATATAGCGATAGGCCTGAGATCTGGAAATGCTGCCATACATACTACTTTTCCTGTTCGAGTGCAGTTAGCTGAACATGCATTAACTAGTTGAATTTAACCTTAACCTAATAGCTTATCAATAATTCTAGTCCCGCTAGGCTGAAATGGATGTAAGACTGAGAATGTGTAAACCACTAAGCTTGACCTAAATCTCTATATTTCCACTGTAAATGGAAACTTACATTATTTGAATTTCTGATAATTAAAAACCTCTTGAATTAATTTCTTTTCATTATGTCTTAGACTGGCAGCTTCATTAATAATAAGATAAAATATTGTATGGCTAGAATGTAACCTTGTCAAATAGCTATCGTGGATGAACTCTCACTTGCATCTTTTAGAAGACTCAAAGTTTGTGCTGCAAAATGAATAATATGGTCACTATTTCAGTGGCATTAAAAGGTGAAGCAAAACAAAAATTGAGACAAAAAGAGAAATTATAGAATCGCATTCTACATAATGATTATCTGCCTTATGTAAGATTCAGAGTGAAATATACCCTTTTGCTCAATTTACTGCATCAGGCCATTCCTAAACTGACCTTCCTTTTTCCTGATAGTGAGAAAAGCAGACAGTCATTAATCACCCAAAAGGTATCATAAGCATTTACAGAAGATCCACAATGCTGAAGATGCTGTTGGCAAATGTCTGCCCAGTTCAGGAACTATAGCATGCACATATTAATTTAGAAAATTATTGTATTTACTTCTGCCTGTATTTCTAACTATTTATATCTCTGGAATATAAAGCATTCTCTTTTTTCATATTGCCAAACCCAATTGTACTAGACTTCAAGGAAGGAAAAACATGTGTTACTCAAGTCCCAGCATACTAGCTCAAGTCAATATATATTTAGCCATATTTCTGCAATATAGCTGTTTCTAAAATGGCCTTGTATCACTTCTTATGAGACCTTTAAACACTCCCTACATTTGTCCTTCCAGAAATATCACCTCTGCTATGTTTCTTATGCCTAGAATATTCCAAAATTATTGTGAAAGATGCAACATTTCTTCTTGGAAGCAACATTTCCATTTTCTCATCAAGTTTTCCATTCTCTAGAACTATTAGACAATGGATGTATTATCCTACAATGTATAAACTAGGTGATGTATCTAATCAGAGTACAAATGCTTATAGTTTAAATTTATTCCCCTTTCCTTTAGAAACTTCCAAATTCAACCAACTTATATCATTGTGTGTGTGTGTGTGTGTGTGTGTGTATTGTTTACATGTAAGGCTTCTTAAAAGTTAGTTTCAATGCCACCAGATATTTTTCTTTAAGAAAGAAGATGAGCATAGTTTTCATGTTGTATACAATAAACACTTACTAGGAAGATATAATAGGATCCTGTAGTGTTGTAATACCAGCATTTAATCCAGTGTTGATTCTGTTGCTACAGCAGTGCAGGCTCTCTAATTCATGTAAAATGGCTGACATGATATACCACCCGGTTCTTCGCTTATACCAAACCTCTTCTTTTAAAAAAGGTTCTGAAGACTTTTTCCCTTCCTCAGCTGTGTCAGATGACAAAGCACTCACTTTTAGTCAACTAATATTAGAACTTCTTCAGTATAATCTTATAATATAGCATATTTAAATGATTTACATATGTTACCATTTTCCTTTAAAATGCCTTGGAAGATTTTGGTAGAACATCCATAAAGAAAGTAATATTATAAATAACTGGCTTTTCCATAAACAGATATGAATGAAACTAATCTGTTATCTACAGAGCAGACATTTTGGATGCCCCCCCCACCACCACCATCCTTTTTCAGATAAAAAGTGTGCTTAGGTCTAGCCCTGGAATTAAGTTAATTATGGCGATTAATGCAGTTCAGATATGCATTTCATGGACTGGCAGGTTCTTGCCCAGTCCTCATGACTCTGCATTCTCTTTATGGCCTTAAGTCACAGCCACTGGTGCAGGGAATGTGGGGTGGGGTGGTGTTTATTACCAATATTTTTTTCAGGCTGGATGTATTTTAGAAGCTCACCTAACAAATAACCTGCTACTAACAATAAGAGTATCTCCGAAGAGCAAAAGCCTAGGACCTGCCCAAAGAGAAAGGGTGTCTCCCTCCTTCTGATGGATCAAGAAGAATGACGAATGATGAAAGAGCACAGGAGGCTGGATTATACCAAAGGCCTTATAACTGGGTGTTTTGCTTCTCCATTAAAAAAAAAATAAAGCCCAAGGCAAGGAGATCAGCTTTGGCATCTGACTACTACTTGGCCCACAAACAATTTCTTTTGCTAAGAGCTAGTACCCCACCATTTTCCATTATAATGTCTTTTTTCTGCTGCCCTTATCTGCCATGACATCACTGGTACACACATGGACGCCCAAATCCAAACGCTCTGCTTCTAAGGGAGGGGGGGATAAAAAATATACGGCATTGTGTTGCTTTTTAATACCTCCTGGAAACAGTGGCTGGGTGCAGATCTCCATGACTAGACAAGCACACATACACACCCCCGTTGCTCAACCTCAATGAATTCAAAGAGGCATCCGCCGGGAACGCGCTCCGCTCCATCCCATTGTCTTCCATTGAAACCCAGCCAGCGGGCGAGGAAGAGCAATGCGCCACTAGACGCTGCATTCCCTGCAGAACGCCTAAGATCCGCGGCTCCGGGGCCGCCCCCACCCACGCCGCTCCGACCCCCCAGGAGCCAGCCCTGCGAAAGAGGAGGGCGGTAGCTCATCAATCCTACGGGACAATGGAAGGGCTGCGGCTTACCTCAAAGGCTTCCTGCAATCCGCTCTCGACGGGGAGAGGCCGGGGCCGGCACTACCATTGGCAAAGCTCCGGCTGTGGTTCCCACCGGCTAGCAGAGCTGAGGGGCGTCTCACGGCGGTCTCCTCTGGCTTGTGGTACTGATGCTGCGCTCTCTGGGGATGCGCGACTCCTGCAGGTTCACCCAGCGCCCCGCCCACTAGCCCTGCCCGCCGTTTGATTGGCTGAACGAGCAGAACAGCCTGTTGACCGCAGCCAACAGGAGGAGGAGCTTGGCTTAGGTTAGGGCGGCCCCCTTGCTGCAGAACTGCGTCGTGTGGTCCCAGGGGAGAAGCCGTGCAAAGTGAGATGGGAATGGGAAGGGGAAGAGACCCTTTTCTCCGCCCTCGGTAGGATACAAATGTACCCTACTATCCAAAGCATTCGGGAAATCGTTCAAAGTCCATCACACTGCTCTTGCATTCGCCATACACCCAGGAGGTATCTGAGTCATTCCCAGCTCTTGCCTTGTCTTAGCAAAGACCACACCAAAATGTTTTTTGATGCTTGAAAGTTCAAAATACACCCCACATCACCCTTAAACACTCCCAGGCTGCATCTTCTCATAATTGTCTATTATAGTCATGTTTGGAGGCCGTCAGATTGTTGTACTGAATCTTCCAGAAATCTACTTTTGTGTAAGCACTTATCCTGAATGCAGCATTGAATTATATATTCAGTTCTGTATAGTTTATTTCTGAAGGTAGGTGGGGGTGGGGGTGTTAAATTCTAGTTTCTCTCCCTCTCCCTCTCCCTCCCTCCCCTCCCCCCTCTCTCTTGGCAAAACCACTGAAGGTTAATCATGTCTGTATCTAACAATGTCAAATACATCTTGACAAAAAAGCAATTCATTGAAGAAAACCAATAATCTCAAAATCAGCCATCTACATTTTCATCTGGAAGGAATGCTTCCAAAGTTCCAGGCTAAGTTAAAATGGGCTGGGGAATTTAACCTTCAGGCATCATATGGTTTAACTATTTCAACAAAGTAGGTGGATACATGAACACGAATATTACGTGTATGACACAGGTTTTAGTTATCCTGATTTATATGAACCCAGCTAGTAGCAATCTTTCTCCAATACAATAATGAAAAGGACCTTCTTGGCAAGAAGCTCCTGGAACTTTCTTGTCTGCCCCGTCTCTGAGTTTGACTCTTTTGGGTTGACAGAAACAGGTTAATGTGCAAGGCAGTGGTAGTTTCCACCCTTTGCTGGAATTACCAAAACATGCTTAAATGAATTGGTCTCATTTTCACAGAAACATAGAAAACTGATGGTAGAAAAAGACCTAGTGATGCATTGAGTCTACCCTTTGAGGGTTTTTTTTCTGTTTAATTTGTTTTTTATTTTTGTTGGATGATGGATATCTGTTTATCTCAAGCATATTTAAACTCAGTTACTGATGACTGATCCATTACCTCAGGTGGAAATTGTTTCCAAGCTTCCATTACTCTTCTGTGAAGTAATACTTTCTAACATTACTTTTGAACTTCCCTTCTTTCTATTTATAACCCGTGGTCTTGATTTTTGCTTAATATTGAAAACACTGCCTTCTAGAACTTTATTCATACTGTTAATATAAAGATTTATGCCCCCCCCCAATCCCTTCTGTTCTCCAGGCTGTACATACTCAATTTCTTCAATCTCTCCTGATACATTTTGTTCCTCAGACCATTTTTGTTGCCCATCTCTGAATTCACTCAATCTTATCAATATCTTTTTTAAAGTGAGGTCTCCAGAACTGAATACAATATTCCAAATTGAACCTGATTGAAGCCTATATAGAGAGACTAGGCCTGTGATGTTGAACCTATGGCACGCATGCCCGAGGTGGCACACAGAGCCATCTTTTTGGGCACATGAGCTGTCGCCCAACTCACCTGCAGCTGTGCATGCGCGCGACCCCCAGCTGGTGTTCGGGCCTCCGAGGCGCATGCGCACAATTCAGGGGATCCAGCTGGTCTTCAAAGCTCTCCTGTGCATGCGTGCGTGTTTGTGCATGTGTGAGAGATTACTTGTCCGTAGTATGTGCATGTGTAGATGGTGTTTGTACACGTGCATTGAGCACATGCATGCGCAGATGGTGCAATTGTGCATGCAGTGCACGGGACCTGTGCAAAAGCTGCGCGCATGCGCAGATGGTGTGGTTGTGCATGCAGCGCACAGGAAGGAGCTGCGCATTAGCGCAGATAGCACGCAAGTGTGCAAAGTGCGTACCTGTTTGGCACACAGTGAGTAAAAGGTTCGCCACTAGTGGACTAGACCCTCCTTTTTCCTGCTGGTGATCCCTCTAATGATGCATCCCAGAATTCTGTTTGCCTTCACAGCTGCCTTCACAGCTGCCTGGCCACACTGTTTGCTCATTTTGTAGTCATCTGCTCTGAGCACACCTAAATCTTTGTCTTCTGTTGTACAGTGTAAGATTCTAATTTTAATAATCTAATTATTAAATCTAATTAGATTAAAAATAGTTTTTTGGCATATAGTACATTGAATCTTGACACTAACCAAATGAGCTACATTCTAGCCCACCCCATCATCTCATGAAAAGCTGTATTCACAATAACCAGGGTTAGAGAGTTGGACAAACACAACTGGTCGGTCTTTAACTCATCTTGCCAAGCATTTTTGTGATTGTAGCTCACTTTCTCAGGGCATTGGCAATATCCAGTGGAATCACTGGACAATCAAATTCAGCTAAAGACTATTATGTTGCCGGGAAAAAATGCTAAGTAATAGTAATTAAATGTACACAACATGCTTCATGACCTTTGCTTAGGGACAGAGCCCTCAGAGCCAATCCCAATGCTCCTAGTCTGTCCATATTGGTCAAAAAACTGAGGTTGGAACTGAGCCCCTTTGTGGGAAACCCTTAATCAATTGTAATTGGTTACTTAGAAAGACTTAAACAGCATAAAGACCCATCACAGACCACCCATCTTGTCCTTCTCTCATCTGCCCTTTTTGTCCCTGAATGCGGTAGTGATGGGTTTGGAGTCCAGTTGGCCCACACCAACCAATGAATAAGGAAGTGAGCAGATAGAGATGATGTTCTTGCTTTTCCAACAAGCAGCTGAATTTGGCTGATTACTCCTTCTCACGCTCGTTTTACCTGTGTAAACAGGCTAAGCTCGTACATTTCTCTTAGCCATCATTATTGCTTTGGTTTTGGCCCAGCTTCAAAATTATACTGAGTCACTATAGTTTATAAATCATTATTTACAGAAGGAGTGTCATCACAGCCCCACTTTTTTGTCTCCATCTTATATCAAACCCAGATCTTTTATTTTATTTGATATTTTATTTTACTTATTTTATTTGTAAATTTTATTGGCCATCCATCGTTCCACAGGGTAACTCTGGATAGCTTATAATATTCATGATGCTAGAATTCACTGCTAAAAGTTTCAATGAAACCCAAGCCATCTATTTTGCATTTCACTCCTCTCTTAATCTGAAAAATATAAAAATCCTGCTTCTTATCAGGGATACCAATGTGTTTCTGAAAATGCCTCTTTAGAGTCCATAAAAAATGAAAGTGAAAATCATACACATTTTTTTTATGGTTTAGATCTTCTGAATTATTCAAGAAACTTTGGTTAAATCAGTCTTAGTATGATGTTTCATCCAGCCAATAAAAGAGAACAAAAGTGGAGGACACTTTCACTTTTGATTTCCTCTTTTCTGCTATGCAGCTCTGCTAAACCCAATTCCTTTGGCTGCATAGTTTAAAAATTCGGAATGAATTTCCTTTCTTGGCCAGTGATCTCACCACTATGTGCCAGCAGCAGACAATGAAGCTAGGCTGGATTTGTGCTGTCTGCAACAGCCACAATGCTCCTCCACCATATCTCATTTTCTTTTCTTTATATAAGCCAATGTGGGGGAAAATTCTATAGAGTAAGTTTGGGGTCAGCAACACTGCAAACAGTTTTGGGAATGGCTCACCTGCTACCTTTGTGAGATAAGTAACTAACTCACTTGTTTCCTTTGCAATTGTGGGAAAGGAGAAAGCACAAATATTAAAAATGTGATTTCAGTGGTTCTGATTTTTTTAGCACCTCAGTTCCTACTAACCACAAGGGGTCCATATAGATAGAGAGTTAGGGATTTATTCTGTGTTTTCTCTTTGTTTCTCTCTGTGTGTGTCTGGTCTTTGTCTATGAGATTGCTAATCTCATGCTTTTCTTTCTGCCTTTGTTTCCAAGGCATGAATGCACAGAGGAGCTTTTGTGTGTGCGTGCGCGTATGTGTGTGTGTGTGTGTGTGTGTATGCATGTGTACACACTCACAGTTGCTGACTCTCCTGTTTCCCTCCTCCCAATGGATTTCCTTAAATAAACCTTTCTGTTAAAGTCATAAACCTGTTTCACTCATTGTTGCTCACTAGATTTCTACTCTCAAAAACATCCACATAATCAAGACACCACAAACATGTATTTTTTTCCAACATTAGGATGGCAGCTAAAGCAACAGCAGTACCTTGAAAGGTCTTATTTTCTCAGGGCTTCTCTAGGACTTATTTTGATTTCTGGAGATTTAATCCCTTGTTTTCAGCTCCCAAATATTTGAACCAAAGGAAATAATTGAGAAATATCATGAATTTAGAAATATTTATTTATAGTATTTAATAATAAAAAGCAAAATAATTTGTATGTTAGGTCATAAGAATATAATATACTACAAGTAGCTTCGTCATTCTTCGTGACAGAGTTATTGGTCTCATGGTTTACAAGACTCTTTATATCATCAGAACAACACAGTAAAAAAAAATTGATGGTTTTGTTGATCTGGAACATTACCAGCTTCTCACTGGTTCTGATCTCTGTAGCACCCTGAGTGATGAAGCCTTTTCTACTTCTCATCTCTTTCTTCCCCTCACATGAATTTGTCTCAACAACAGTCCGCTAATCAGACTTTTTGGTTAAATTTCTAGTTTCTGCACAATCAATTCTTTCTGTTCAACAATACAATAAAAGCTAAAGAAAATCAAAACACTTGTGTGATAAACATTATGAAACCAAGAAACTGGAAAGACAATTTGGTGAAAAGAAGAGATATGTATTTTGTTGGATTTCAAGTTCTTAAACACCAAGAGACACCATTAATCATTCTTTTCCCCAAACATGTCCACTCTTTCTATGACAGCTCAGTTCAGGGGCATATTTGATGACCTGTG